ATAATAATAATAATAATATAAAGATAGCTTTTACATCTATACCACCCACTCCCCGGTGGCTCTAGACACTTCACAATAAGTATAAGATAAAATTTAAATCGATGTTTCATGAATACTGGCTCATTCAATGTATTGTACAACAATTGCGGTACGTGACATACACTGGTAATCTGACACAGAACAAACACACAATGAGACAGTCACTGTGGCCACTGATCACACTAGCTGTCGGAGGAAGGATAAAATTGGTATTTGTGTCACGATGCAGTGGAATCAGGCTCTCGTCAAGTTTTGGGAATATTGTGGAGTTATTGGTACCATCTTAAAGCTTATTCATTCACTTTGCTGCCAATGAAAGAAGTACCCATCTATCTTATTAAATAGAAGTCAAGATGCTTGCGATTGAAGGATGTGGGGTCGCAAAGCTTCAGTGGTAAAATTAGCAAGAAAATGGCCGCCAAAGTTGGGTAACTTCAATACCGGTAGCTTGAAAGTCCATGAAAACTGAAAAATGACAGTGACATATTTTGTGGCTTTAATCAACGTTTTTCAGTATGTTTTTCTATGGACATACAAGGTGCAGAGTCAAAAAACTACAATTTGATAAATGTTGCCAAACTGGCAGAAAAATGCCTATTTCTTCGATTTGGTTATTTTGACGAACGCCTGATTTCACCACGATGCCTCACAAATTGTTATTCGTTTTAGTTCTTATCCCGTGGAGTAGTGTGGGAAAATGATCAAGTAAACGGATTTTGTTCTATTCATTACCAGTCTACCTATCACAACATCTGCTTCAACACAAAGGAATTCATGCATTGGTCCCGTGAGATTCATGTTATCAGGTTTTGCTGCATATTACATCTATCATACTACATGTATATATATATATACACAAAACAAATTTCAGACACAAAAAAAAAGATTAATTCATTTCAACCCACACAATCACTCCTTTTCTCACAGCAAATTTGGCAGATAAATTTATACCTTTTGATTGTAACTTGTTTAAAAATACATGCACAGTTATTTAACTGGCATCGGTGGTCTAGTGATTATGATGTCTGGCTCATAACCAAACAAAAGGGCGCTGGTCTGAACCCCATCGTCATCAGGAACCCGATATTGTATTCGGCCGCTTTTAAGCACAAGGGGGCTATCCCGAAAAATGTTGTTTAGAGAAAACCGAAGGTAAAGTATTTGCCCCTTACTCAGTTTCTTCAAAATACAAGAACAGTTTTTCTCTATAACCAAACAAATAATACACACTAATGAAACCAAACTTCTCCTATAGGTAGGGCAATGCCCACTTTTGGTGTAGGTTAAGATTTCTGGAAACCCCCGAAATCTGGATTAGCCTGCTTGTCCTTAAAAGCGACCATTTGAGCGTTTATTCAGCTGCTTGCACTGTACCAAGAATGTTTCGGAGTGATCTACGGGCTGCTGGGCTAATAAATTAGTAAATTACATAGAGCATATATGTTGTAGAGAGTGGATGCACGTTGTGTAAATGCAATTATTATTATATGAAACCATTACCATTTCAATGTTCTCTTAGAATTAGAATACGTCATAATATAATTTATGCTGCCAGGTATTTTCTTGTATTACCAGTACTCCATTAATGTTTTGTTAGTAAAAATGTATAATAATCTTATAAAACAAAATATCACAGAACAACACAGCAGAACGGAGGTTTTAAGGAGGGCAAATCGCAATATCAGTGCTTTCTTGTCGCATCTCCATCTTTTTTAACATTGAAAATGTGACTTCTTGTTAAGCTCATTCTTTGTTATGAACTGTTTTCACTGTTCTTAAAAAATGGAGATAGGACAAGAAAGCACTGAGGTCGCCAAAAAGTAATTCATACAGTCGAAGCTGCTCTAACGATCAACCTGTCCAAGACAATCACCTGTGCAAAACAACCTCTTCTTACATAATTCCTCTTGCTTTTTAAAAAAATATTATGACACAGTTCTAGACATCCACCTGTCTAAGACAACCTCTTTTCTCCTCAAATATATGGGTGGCTGACTCGAACAATTCCGACTGTGTTTTACATTTACCCCGTCAAAACGAGCTAGGAATGATGGCTCTTGTCGAAATGATTGTCAGTTACAGCAGTCTGCGACTCTTTTTTCGATAACTTCGCAAAAACCCGATACAACCCTCTGAGCATCAAGGCGAACCAGTAGACTTGAGGCGCCAGTATCAAGAAACACGACACGTTACATTTGATGGGAATGTGGTAAGGGACTCGGAGAAAAGGAATGTCGGCGTACAGAGAGTAGCGGAAGTACAGGTACGGGAACACGGCCAGGCGGCAGAAGAAAAAGAAGACGACCATGAGGAGGCTTGTGACGAAGTACGACCGCGACGACTTCAGACCCATCTGGGGGAGACAGAAGAGAGAAAACAACTTTGTGGATGAAATGTGTCTGGTCATGGCTTTCCTACATAATAATGATAATTATGATAATGAGAAGAAGAAGGAGAAGGAGAAGGAGAAGGAGAAGGAGAAGAAGAAGAAGATGAAGAAGAAGAAGAAGAAGAAGTAGAATTAGAAGAAGAAGAAGAAGAAGAAGAAGAAGAAGAAGAAGAAGAAGAAGAAGAAGAAGAAGAAGAAGAAGAAGAAGAAGAAGAAGAAGAAGAAGAAGAAGAAGAAAATTTTAACAATTACCATCATCATATAATAAAAATAATAATAATGATAATAATAAAAAAGATAATAATGATAATGATAATAATAATAATAATAATAACAACAACAATATGAATAATTGTCACAGAGCAGTGGTTGATATGATCAACAGCATGGAAAAAAACAACAACAATATCTTACAAATTAGCATACATTTTTCCAAGCATAACTTTCTGAAATGTAACAGGCCCACATAACAACATTTCTCAGGAGAGATAAAAAAAAAACTAGCTCTTTCTTTTAACAATTGTAGCTACTTTACAATAATTATATCATATTGTTTCTTGCTATCCTCAAAATTTGGCAATTTTGAATTTCAACTAAACATTTCTTGAGCCCTTTCAACTGATACGACGGATTGAGAAAGTGCAATTAAAAACAAATTCACAATTTTGGGCTAAGTACTTCTGAACAGATGGCTGATGATTCTTTAAAAAAAGAAATACTTTTCCGATCCAGCGGCCATCAGGGTTATTCTAGCCCGTAGGCCTGGAACATTTTACCTTTCCGAAAAAAAATATAAAAAATGGAAAAGAAAAGAAATAAAAACCACCGGTAACGATTGCTATAACTTACTTGTATAAGGATTTCCCTGGCAGAGATAAATGGCACGACAAGTTCTATCATGTAAAATACTCCAAAGAAAAAATCTCCGCGATTTTCCCTCAGCACCTGTGCAGAAAAGAACAAAGTAATATGTGTCACGACGCGGTGGAATCAGGTGCTCGTCAATTTTGGGGCATGTGGAGTTATTGGTATCATCATAAAGCTTGTTCATTTGCCTTGCTTTCGATGAAAAAAATACCCACAGATGTTCGAAAGAAAAGAAGGAAGAGAGATAAGGACCACAGATGTTTGAAAGAAAAGATGGAGCAAACTACACCAGAGCACCCACCAACCGCAACAAAAATAAAAGTACCGTTAAACACAGGCACCTCCAAACAAAACAAAAGGATTTCCCATGTATTTTTTTTTAATCTTTAAAAAAGGGTTAGACAAGAACTGACTGGGGTTTGGATGCTTTTTTACACACTATTTTTGCGTAAATTAAAAAAGTGTACAAAGATGTAAGATAATAAAGAAAACAATTCAAAAGGAATTTTATTCCATCTGTCATTTTATGAGTATACTTATCAAGTGAACAAAACAAAATAATAGAATTTTTGTACTTTTCCGATCCAGCGGCCATATAAGATAACAGAAAAAAAATTGAAAAGCAGTACAAAAATTTTGAAATAATGAACTAGGATTTCCGAAAAAACAAATTCTTACCAGGATAAGAGGGAGCAATATGCTCGGCAGCAGAATGTGATGGCACACCATGGTTTTGTTGTGTCTCACAAAGGTGACGACCTTGTCTTGGACCGACTTCCCCGCAAACAGCTGCTCATGACTGCGTGTGTAATACGCGTACATCGCCCACATGTCGTACACAAAGTACGGGGCTCCGAACCACACGTAGGCATTTGTCAGCCAGTGCCTGCAAAGATTAAGGGATGCACTACGATGTATGATACGTACTTTTCATTTTCGTACGAGTTTTACGGCACTTGCAACACAGTAAAGTCATATATAAGTGCCGAACATTAGAGGTGTTACTAGAGAGTAACAAACACAAAAAAGAAGGAGGAGAGATAAGGATGATAGATGTGTTTGATAGGAGAGAAGGAGCAAACCACACCAGAGCACCCAACAACCACCCATCAATACTTAAAAAATAATTTAAGCTGAGGACAAACTTTCAAAGCAATATCATCCAAGTATCAAAATGACTTTCTACAAACACGACATTGACCACAAAAGGACCAATACTCGAAGGATTTAGACTTTCTCAACTTTAAAACAATGAAAGTAGAGTAGAAATATATAAAAAAGATTCCCGAATAATTTGAACCTCTTAAGACTAATAAGACCCACCCTCCACCATCCGCTCATATGTGCACATACACACACGCAAACACACACACATACACACACATCTCCATGTTGGATAATTTTGACAATACAAGCAGCAACTGACTCTACCAGCACAAAGAGTCCAAAACTTGTTTGACGTACAGGTCTGTTTGCACATAGGCCTACACATCTTACAACTGAAGTGTCTTTACACCTTTCCCAAAGGGGGGACATTAACCATGTTCTTATGCACAGTAGAACTGCACATGGGCTGATTCATCAATGTCATGCTCATTCTGTGCCGGAACAACATAAGGAGAACTACTGCTTTTCCTTTCCTCATCCTTACTATCGTCATTTCCTCTACTTCTTTTGTATGTTTGTCACTCTCTTGTGACCCGCTATTTCCGGGGTGCCTTGATAGTCGAAGCAGACTTTGTGCTGTTGAGGCTAGAGAGGTGAACAGAGACTTCTCTGTTGACATCCACCCCTTGGCGCTCATATGATCTTATGCAGTTGCAAGTGCCTTAAAAACCCTACTAAAACTAGAAAACATAACTGTTTGAGATAAAGGTTTTTCATCAACAGCACAATGTACAGAGAACAAAAGCTGTTTGGACGTACATGTCTTTCATGATGTCGTTGCATGAGGCGGCAATGATTGCACCAACACACGAGGCCAGCACTGCTTGAGCTCCGCTCACAAACCTGTAGAAGAAAACAGAAAAAACATTCCAGACTCTACTTCTGTTTTCTTTTGTTGTTACTTTTTTTCAGTGCTACAGTAAACAGGCAGCCAAACACTTTGCCTTTGATTCATAAAGTAAAGCTTTTTGTTTTTTCAAGCTGCCATAATATATGTAAAATTTGTAAAGCGTGCTGACAAAATGAGTTACTTCTCAGATTCAAGCCTTAAGGAAATAGATACATCACTCTTACAGGTAAAATTGTAACAATTCATAAGTATGAAATAATAAAAGGCATGTTATAGTTTAAGAATATGGCACCAATAGAAAATCTACAAATTTGACCCTAATGTCTATTTTTGGCCAATATCTCCATTCGTGGACTGCGAGAAGTAACTCATTTAGTCAGCATGCCTAACATTTAAAAAGCATATTCGTGTTACAAACACTGGTAACAAACGAGGAAGTCACCTGCTCTACTAAAACAAAGTACACGTAAAAATATGACCACATAATATTATACAGGGCTCTAGCACAGTTAATTTAATTATTAGGCCTAGCCTACAAATGGATGGATGGATGGGCGGATGGACGGAGGGACGGATAGATGGAAAGATGGACGGATGTATGGATATAAAGTCAAGTAATTGGACCAAGTGTATCTCAAGATAATCTGCTGGTGCATTCCAGATTATCTTTATAAATAATAAGGTCTAGATCTAGATCTGGATGAAAACCATTACAATTATGTGAATATTGAAATTAAATTCTCTCTCTCTCCCTCTGTTTCTTTCTCTTGCACACATACGAGTGTTCAGTTCTCAATTATCAAGGTTTGTTTGCAAACTATACTTCTTTCAGACAACATGATGTGGCTTGTTGGAGAATGAATTCCAGCTTGTTAATTTTCATTCATTCATATCAGAGGCACTTTCTTAGTTTCTTACCGGCATGCAATGACGTAGATATTTGCTTCAGTTAGCTGCTTGGGAAAATATATCTGTAAAAGCTTTCTGCTACAAAAGTGCATGGAAATAAAGAAGCAGGTTCCACACGTCATTAGCGCAACAGACTCCATCTCACAAATTGTACTGTACAGCAGTATTGTTTATTGTATTTTCGCCTGACTTCAACTATTTCTACTTCTAGATCTAGATCTAGTGAACGAGGAAAAACAGAGCCAAGGGTCAGAATGTAAAATCATCATCGTCTAGATCTAGTCTGCGACAAATCATCCCATCTCGATAGCTGCTGTTGTTCGCCGACAGCTATCAGTATCATCAAACTCAACCAAAAAATATCCCCGACAGAAAGCTGATCCCCATACTGGTAATTAAAGCAAGGCGATTAATTATCTTTAATGCATAAATTAAAAAGACAATAGGAGTGCTGTGTCATATGGAATATAAAATCAGAGAAGCCGGTTTGTTTATCGTTGTCTAAGACGGAATCGTCCCAAGAAATTACAGGCAATATCTTGAAACCAGTACGATAATTAAAAGATGGAAATAACTGTAGAATTAGAGTCTATTAAAATATTATTTGACTTTAATCAAGAGCCACGTGTAGAAATAGCTCAAAACTAACTTCTGCATAAAGTATATATTCTTTATACAAAAAAAGAAAAAGATTGTTAGCAACATTTAGCAGTAAGTGAAAGGAAACTATTTTCAGTCTCTGTGACAAAAACTGCAAACCAAGAGCACCGTGCGAATAAACTTGATAGCGTTCCGTTCAAAATGCGCGAGGTGCTGGTACTAATGGTTCGTCCACTTTTCCTTTTATTGATTAGTACATTACATTTTGTGTAGATAAAAAGAAAAACCCTAGCTCTGGGCAAAGTGCCTACCCTAGCCTAGAGGTTTCATATTTAATAAATAGATAGGTTCTAAACATGATCAATTCTCCCATTAATGCTTTGGGGTTTTTTTCCTTTTATATTTAATGTATTATATTTATATTATGTAGGCCTATGTAGAACTATGGCACATGTAATAAGGTAAGATCAGAAAGAGAACATTGAAGTAGATTGGACACACCTTGAGAAAACCAAGAAAAAGAAAACAATACCCTCCAAACTTTGAGAGTGAGAGGGAATCCACTTTTGGGGGGGGGGGGTATTTAGATTCGAACCTAAAGGAGATAGGATATATAGCTAGCCAGAGGTGGAGACTATAGCCCAGGACAAAAGTAGATGGAGTCTATAGCCCAAGACAGAAGTAGATGGAGACTATAGCCCAGGACAGAAGTAGATGGAGACTATAGCCCAGGACAGAAGTAGATGGAGACTATAGCCCAGGACAAAAGTAGATGGAGTCTATAGCCCAAGACAGAAGTAGATGGAGACTATAGCCTAGCCCAGGACAGAAGTAGATGGAGACTATAGCCCAGGACAGAGGTGGATGGAGACTATAGCCCAGGACAGAGGTGGATGGAGACTATAGCCCAGGACAGAGGTGGATGGAGAGTCCCTGTTGATGGCTTGTACAATATACTCCGGCACGAGGGGAGAAAGGCTCATGATTTCTTAAGCACCTGCTGATAAATGCCTGAAGCTTCCTAACATTTTATTTAGTAAGTTTCCCTGTTTCTGACCCATGAGGTGACACATTTTTTACTCTGATATTGAAAAGCCGTCTTGGTTCTTGTTCTTGACTTATAGTTCCTAATTTCAAATTATTTCTTAGTTGTGTGGAAACACATCTCTTGCCTTGCCTATTCTCTCATAATTCTTTCCTTGACATCTGCAAGTGTTCCTCAAACCATGTCTACAAAACAATGCTTCCAAAGTCTGCCCCCGTCGTTTTGTGCAAAAAAAATTCTGAAATTATGCAAACTGAGCCCAAAAATGTGAAATTATGCGATTTTGTAGTATCAAGTCTTCAAGTTGAGTCCATAATGTCCTCTGGAATCCTGTGTTTCTGCATCTGTGGTCCTCTTCATAATCCAGACAGCAGTACAAAAAAAAAATACCAAGAAAGATGACAATATACATCCTTGTTTCACTGGTGTGTACCAGCGTCTGTGGTGTAGTTGTTATATGTTGTTACGTGGCGTCGTTGGCCTAGTGGTTAGGCTCTCGGACTCGCAACCATAAGGTCGTGGGTTCCCGTCAGGGGCCCGACGTTGTGTCCTTGGGAAAGGCACTTTACACGAATTTTCCTCACTTCACCCAGGTGGGAATAGGTACCCGGCTATAGACAGCGAAAGATCTTGTCAGTTTGTTGGTGTTTGAGAGCTTAATCAGCTGCTTGCACTGTATGCTTCCCAGGAAGCTGAGAAAGTTTCGGAGTGTTCTCTGGTCTGCTGGGGTAATAATATAGTGTAAAGCGCATAGAGCCCGCTGTTGAGCAGGGATATGCGCCATACAAATGCTATTTATTATTAATATTATTATTATTATTATTATTATTATTATGTACTGTAAGGTGCTTCATCGTCTCATGCAAGAGACCTTCATTTGACTCCCGAATGAGGAGCAGGTTGACCCATCCTGCCCGGCTTCTACAAAATGATCGTCTAAATTGTGTTGATGCGGGTGTGAAAACACTTACAATATTATCACTCCAGTGTGTATCTGGAAGCTGTTGAAAAACTGGCCTAATTAGGATGACTCTGCAGCTAGTTCTTGTATCCTTGTATTTTTTCTGAGGTAGCCATACTGTATTTTCAGTATGTTATGCTATCTAAGAATTTTCCATAGGGGTTTATCTACATAGAACATAGAATCAACCCTTGCCTGGAACTGGAAGGTAGAGCTGGGCGAAGAGTCGATTCCGGAACCGATTCCCGCGATAAATACTAAGGAAGTAATGCCAGTTATTATTTTTATCATTAAAATCTTCCTTTTGAAAAATAATTAATTTTTTAAAACAAAAAGAAGTTGATGCTTCGTAGTGTTCCGAAATGAAGGTTGTCCTGAATCCTGAAGATGTTCGGCACCAATCAGGTAACCACCGGGGAAGAAATCACATCATTAGAAAGTAGGTAGCCTAATTGGGTTTGGAGTCGATTCCTACAATTCCTAGCTTTCAATAATCGGGAACCTAGCCGCCCAGCACTACTGGAAGGTATTCACGTGCCGTTTTTGAAGGTATTCTTGATACATGTATTTCTAACTGACTGGAGAGGCTTCAGTTTTGGGTAGGAATTGATTTCGAATTTTGCTCGGACAGCAGCAGGTAGGGTCTCCTCTTTTCCATTTTAGAACCGCTGAGATAGGATTGAGCACATAGTATTCTAAGGAATAAGGACAAAAAATGTCACCGGTCCCTAGTGAAAGTTCTGCATGTTAATGCTCTGGGAAGTGCAGAACTTCCACACAAGACCACTGAAATTGTTTTGTCTTTATCAAAGAATGCTATACATTCGATCCTATCTACCCTAGACTCACGGGTGTAAAAAACATGAGATAAAAACCTGACTCTGGCATGGACCGAACTCGAGACACCCGAATTGACAGGCGAATACCATATCAGTTGAGCTACTCAGGACCCCATATAAAAAGCCACTTCCTGGTTACTTTTAACATTTTTGGACATACTCATAGAGACTTAAACATGCATATATTGTCAGTGTCAGACTCTGAATATCATTGAATATATATGTATCCGCCATAAAATGAGTCAAACACTTTTTTTTTTTAAAAGGTATTTCTTTCTTATTATGTTCAAGAATTGCTCTGTGGTTTTTTTGTAGTCGTAGAGCGTTCATTTTACTTATTCTTGCATCATCAATTGTTATTACGGTTGTGAATGAGATCATTTCAGGCAAAAGAAGTGTTTGATTTCCATTTAATTTGGCGGACACACTGTAAGAGTTGGATCAACGACAATATACAAGTAGAAATCACTCTTTTTGTTTCAGTAAGGTTTTACGGCACTCGTAACTACATAAGGTCATATGAGCGCCAAGGGGTGGATGTCAACAGAGAAGTCCAAACGGGGAATCTGGCTTTGTCTGCTCACCTCTCTAGCCTCAACAGCACAAAGTCTGCTTCGACTACCAAAGCACCCCAGACATAGCAGTTCACAAGAGAGTGACAAACATACAAAAGAAGTAGAAGAAGAATGACGACAGTAAGAAACCACACTACTCCTCCCCAAAACAGCAAATGAGGAGAATAAAACAACACAGTGAAAGTGAAAGCGCGCTTCGCTGTAACAGCACAGACATTTATTCATCTTTTCCACCATAGAAAAACATTCATGAGATAAAAATATAACAGTTGCTCAATCAAACCATCATCCTCCAGTATCTTTTATACCTTTTACCAACCAACAACAATGAAAAAAAAATGGCATCCAACTGTTCAGACGTCCTGAGCTCAAAATTTCAAAGAAAAAAATAATTGTTATTTGTGGTATCAGTTGTATGTGCTCTAAAAATATTTTGACGATAAAATTCAAATTCCAAATGTAAAAAAAAGCGAGAAAATATGAATAAAACATAACATAGAAGTATAATTGTAAAAAAAAAAAAATTAAAAAAAACCCTCCTGAAAAATGTAGTTTTTTGGGCTTAGAACATTTGAACAGCTTAATATCGATAAATGACAATGAGCCATGAGTCTGAGATAGAAAATGAGGACAAATCTTAGCTTGTACTTTGATGATCAAAGACAATTTCCACTCATATCGTCACATTTACACAAAATCGCACTATTTTTTCTTGTCGTCCTTGCAAGCTATGACGTATCTCTGGGCCACCATGAGGGGTGGAGAGTATCCGTTGGCGTAGGACGTGTCCTCAAACAGCACTGAATAGTCGTCCTGAGGCTGAGGGGGAGATAATCAAGAGAATAAAAAAAATGTCAATTATAAAGTGTGAATAAGTGACATAATATATCTTTGTAATTGTTTGATAATAATAATAATGAATAATAATGAAAATAATAATAATTATAATCAGAATAAAAATAATCACCATAATCATAATAATAATAACGATGGTGATGATAAAAATGTACATAGCGCCTAACCACAAGACGGCCCTAAGTGCTGCACAATGCAGAATTATCACTCAACGTAGCTGTCAACGTAGCTGACTAATCAAAGGACAGAAAATGTGCCCTACATTGTGAGACCAGTTAACAACAAACATACACATAAACACATACAAACAAACACACACACACAAACTCCCAGGCCCACACACATTATCACATTCAACATTTTATGGCAGAAGACAGTGTTAAACAAGTATGTCTTTAGACTCTTCTGAAACTCTTTCTCAGTCACACTCGCAATCAGAATGTCACTGCCCACCCTAACACCCCCCGTCGCCAATGTGCCAGGATCTGGACAATAAAGATGTATCTTATCTTATCTTGCCTACCTCTACA